CGGGGGCGGGGAGGGGGCCGGGCGCCCCCCGCGCCGAGCGGGGCTCCCTCGCGGGCTCACAGTGCCATGGGCCCGGCCGCGGGGCGAGGCGCAGAGGCCCAGGTACCGGCTTCCCTGGGCGGCGGTGGAGGCGCCCCTCCCCCGCTGCGGGCTCCGACGAAAGACGGGGGAGGGATGCCTGCGGGGAAACAGAGAGAAAAGGGTTAAGGAGGGGTTCGGAGGAGGGGAAAGGGTTAAGGAAGGGATCAAGGGTCGTGACTCCCCCCATCACACCGGCAGGCACCCAATGGTTTCCCTTTAGGACTTGAGGGGTCGGCCCTGACCTGGAGAGGGTCCCAGAACAAGAGATACCACGATAGATAGTAGAACTGGGGGCCCAACACTTGCACTCATTAGGGTAATTATTAATTTGAGATGTGGGCGGGTGGGTAGTAGCATCTTAAAGTTCATAGGAGCCCAGTGCAGCCGCCCTTACACGCGTCTCCCTGCACGACCAGGGCCAGTTCCTGTGGGTGAGGCCTGGAGACCCTCCGCCAGCTGGTGACCCCAGGCCCTTCCTCTCTGAGTCACCCAACCTCTGTGTGGTGTTCCCACCGCCAGCCAGTCGCGGCTCTGTCTCATCAGCTCCTGATGCTGGATGATGAAGTTGCTAAATAATTCATTGGGATTAATTAAATGCCAATTCGTCAATGGGATCATTGGGTAACCTGGCTGAGAAGGGGGCAAGGGAGAGAAGCCAGCTGTGACCCGAACATCCAGGCCCCAAGCCCTCTCCATCCACACAAGGGTACAAGCATCTGATTCCACGTCCCCGATTCCCCCCACACAACACTCCACCCCTTCCTGGGCCCCAACCCCACTGCTCACCAGCCCACAAACCTAAATGTCTGTCTGTCCCCTCAAGCCCCAGTTGCCAGTCCTCAGCCTCGGGCCTGGCCCAATACCTGGGTTCTCTTCACCCCTGGGTTCCACCCCCTCCCCATCCACGGCTGGGGGAGCCACCAGGAGGCAGGCAGGCTCATTTACATAAAATTGCCTTTCTGAAATGATTACCCTTGTAACGGGCTGTCAGAGAGCAATTTATACCCCACACCGGGGAGGGGAATTTGCATCTCGTTAAACTCCGAGTCGTAATTATTTATATCCAACAACCCTCCTGAATATTGCATTGATTTTATTTTGGGGAGGGAGGAAGGGAAGGAGGTGGGGTGAAGCCTGGGAGAGAAGCAGGGAGGGCCCAAAGTTTCGGAAGGGACAGGGAAAGATTGAAGGCTGAGGAGAGGAATGGCACAAAAAGTGACAGAGACAGAAGAGTAATGGAGGAGAAAGGTGGCCTGATGGGGAGAAAAGGAGAGAGAAGCTAGAGAAAATTAAATTCCAAATCCAAACAGCATTTGTCAAGGCCCTGGAGCCTGGGCATTTTTACCAATGGCATTTTACTTAATCACTCTGAGAAGTCCCACTGTTCCCATTGACCACTGGGGAAGCGTACATAGGGAAGTCTAGGGACTTGCCCAAGGTCACACAGCCTGTCAGCAGGAATTGGGACTTAGATCCACATGTGTCAGACTGCAGCCTTCCACAAAGGAGACAAGGGGTGGGGTAGCCACAGGTCTCACTCAGAGCAGTGGGAACCAAAAGGAGAGGAGAGTGGGGCAGGAGAAGGTTGGGTGGGTGTGGTTCCTTTCTACATGGGAGCAAGGGTACGAAGGGAGAGAGAGAAAGCTAGGGGCCCCCTAAAAATCCATAGCAGGGGAGTGAGCAGAGGGTCATCGGAGGGCAGGGATGGTCGGAGTGACATGTGTGCCAAAGGAAGAGGGGGCAGAGAAGGTCCCAGGAGACCAGGGGTAGGGTTTGGGGAGCTATCTCCAAGAGACCCTCAAAGCCCAGTTCTCAGATCCTTCTATCTGGCTTCTTCTGACTGTTGCCCTACCCACCCACCCCCACCACCCCCCAGTCCTACAGGCTTCAGTGGGGACTCAAGTTTCCCACCTCACTGCCCCTTCCCAAGCAGGGGACAGAAGACGATTCAGGCAGACAGCCCCCTCTCCCTCCAAACACTGTCCGGGTTATATATAGCTTTGCCACTGCCTCTCCTCATTGGGTAATGGAGATAATTAACATGCGCGGGCTAATTAGCCAATCAAATTAAATGCAGCACCTGCTCCCAGCCTGATTGACGCCCTTACCCCCACACACATGCGCCCCCAGCCCAGGGCAGAGGAGGGGGACCCTCAGGCTTGGGGGAGGGAAAGGCCAAACTCCCCCTTTTCTCCAGAAGGGGCAGGGAGGCCCCCAGCGGAGGCACAGGCCTGAAGGGCAGAAAAGTGACGTCCTTCCTCCCTCCCCTGCTGGGGTCTCAGTCTCTCACCGCCTCCCCCCAACCCCCACCCCCACCTCCGGACACATTTTGGGGAGGGAATTAATTAGCTATCGATTTCCACTAGCAGAGGGAATAGGATTTCGTGCAGGCTGTCCACTCTCACCCCTCAGCTCGGGAGAGGGAGGGGATTAGTTCCCCTGCCCCACCCCCAACGCAATCCCCCTGCCATACTCACAATCCCCCACCCTCTAGGGAGCTGGCAGGGGGCTTCTTGCTGAGAAAGCCTAGGGGCAAGGTCCCCCTTGTTCCGGAAGTTGGCAGAGGACAGATAGAGTGAAGGTTGGTGAGGAGGCCTCCAGAGGGCTGGGAGGCAGACGCCTGGGTCCCGGAGGCCAGTTGGGGGGGGGGGAGGGAGGGGGTGGGCAAAGCGTGTGACAGAGAGTGGCTGTGTGTGCCAAGATGTGCAAGGAGAGTGTGGGAAGGGAGCAGATACAGCGCCTGTGAGCCCGCGGTGGGGGCAGAGGCTGGGTTTGTGCGGTGTCTCCAGGGAGGGGCGAGGGCAGGGTCTGGGAACCAGGGCCCCTCAAGACTCATTACTCATTCTCCCCACAGCCCACAGCTCTGCAGCACAGGCCAGGCTGGCTCAGCGCCGGGGCACAGGGGCTGCAGGGCTGGCCAGGAGGAAGCCCCAGCCCTCCCTGGGTCCTCTCTCCAGGGACCCAGAGACCCTGGGAGCAGCTTCAGGCTTGTGAGACAGAGATGGCCCCAAGAGGAGTGCGTGCTAAGTGGACGCCTGGGTCCCTTCCACCCCACCCTGCAGTTCCAGCTTCTGCTGACCCAGCCTCCAACCCACCCTTCCTCCCGCGATGCAGGGGGAATCCTGCAAACCTTCCTCCACTCCTGGTACACGGCTCTCCAGACTCAAATCTCCTAGCCATGGGCCAGGGCTGGCCATGCACAACCACATCAAGTAAACGGTGGCCCCTGGAGTTGTGCAAGGCAATGGCCCCTCCCTAGGCCCATGCGGTGCACTGGAAGCCCCCTGCACCCACAGACCAGGCGCTGGCTCCCCAAGACCCACTCTTCTTCTCCAGCGCCCACTGGCCGGTGCAGGGACACGGGCCAGAGTGGCCTCGGGATATCCCGTCCTTGACTGACGTCAGCTCAGCGCACACTGCCAGCCACTGCTGGGCCCGGGGCCACTGTTCCTCTGGGGACCTGACCTCTCCCATGTCATGTGGGACTCTGCCCCCAGTCAGCTCCCTAGCGCCCCCAACCCACAGAAGGACTCTGCAGCCTTGAGCCAGTGGGGATGGGAGCTGGAGGGGGAGGGGATCAGGCCCCTGGCCTACTCTCTTGCCCACTGAACGCTCTCCCACAGGCTTTTCCTAGGTCATTCTAGGCTGACAGCCTCCTTCTCACCTTCCGCGGCCAGGCCAGGCCAGGCCAGTGCCACCGTGGCGTGCGGGCTACAACTTCTGGGCTCCGCGCCGTGCACCTGGCACCTGGCCGGACCACCACACACGCGCACTGTCTCATTTCACCTACAGTTTGGGGACTTGCTCTCATCGCCCCAGACTAAGCTTAGACTGATTAATTCATCGGCCCGAGTGAGTGTAGGTAAGACATTGCTGGCTCCAGCGTCTACTGCCTCCCTCCCCCCTTGCACTGTGCACAGGCCACAGGGACGCGGTGAGCTCGGAGCCCACCTTTCTCTGATCTGGCCTCCACAGGGGCCACTGCCCTTCGCAGACACCCCAGACTCCGTCTGCCCCCGGGGCTGAAAGACCCAGGCCTCAGAGCTCTTGGAGGGTCATCCTTCTCGCCTTTTCCGAGGCGGAAACTGAGTCCCAGAGAGGGGCAGTGACTGACCCAGGGCCACACAGCAGAGCAAGACTAAAACGAAGGTCGCTGGCCTTCCATTCTAGATGCTTCCCACTGTACCCACTGTTCAGGACCTGGGCCTTCCACCTGACCCAAAGCCTCGGCCCTCCCCACACCGCCAGTGCAAACTAAGCAAATGGACGCAAACTTCAGGGGAAGAGATGGTCCATGCCGCCATGCCGGCAGAGCCCCTGGCCAGGGGCCCTCTCCCAGCATCCACCCACCCCATCTCCAGCCACATCTATACCATACACGCGCACACGCACACGCACACCTCCAGCCTTGGGAATGCCAGCCTCCCTCTGGCTCTCTTCCCCTCACGCCAGCTCTCTCTCATGCCAGCTGGGAGTGTGACAGCAGGGGCCTCCCCCAGGCGCCAGGGAGGAAGAGCT